ACATCCTCACACATGCATGAGTCTTTAGGGACTGGCTCTTCCATTCTCACGTTCACTAATTCATCCATTCAGAAGACTGTCGCCTCCGACATGCTGGGCCCTGGGCTGGGGACGTAAGACGAGCTCTACATGCAGAACAGCAGAGTTGAAGGGCGTGCACGGGGGAGGTTGTAACAGGTGTAGCTGAGCTCACCGCAGAGCTGCCTCAACTGCATTCCCACAAACAGCAGGTGAGGGGCTCCCCTTCCCCGAACACTGGGCACGACCAAGCTTTTACATTTTCACCCAGATCCAATCAGTAAAAAAAAACGATCTCAGTATTTAACTTGTTATTTCTCTCATGCCAACGGCTGCTGGTGCCTTCTCGCATGTCTCCGGGCGCAGCCAGCTTGTTTCCCACACTCGGAAGGTGACCGAGGGCTGCAGCGATCGCTTGGCCGGGCCAGTCCAGGGAGAGTTCTCTTTGGGCTGGGCCATCTCCCGCCCCACTTCCTCCCACCCCAGAGCTTTGAAACAAGGACTTCCCTCTCCCCCCACCCGACTCTGGCCTCCGCCAGGGCCTGGCAGATGGGGGAGGCCACCTTCCGGTCACAGAGAGGAAGCCTTGTCCTCAATTGTTCTGAGTGGAGCCTGAAGCTCAGGCCCCGGCTGCAGGAAGAGGCCACGTGGTCACCAGGGAATTCCTCCACTGCCCGGCCCCAGATGTGCTGGCGCAGAGCAAGCCTCTGTGGGCAAGCAGCTTCAGGTCTCAGGCTGTGTCCTCGTCATAAAGTGAGGACCTCATGAGGTCCTGGGGAGGACACCTGGAGCTAACATAGTGGAAAGGGAGCCGAAGACAGCCATTCCCAACATCATCACAGCAGGGCTGGGTGCACCCCAGCTCTGGTGTTCCCCTACCGCTGCCTGCCCTGTCCCACCAGCCTCTCGTAAGTCTGTGACATCAGATGTCAGCACATTTTGGCCAGAAAGACCCCCAGAGTTCTCACAGCCCAAGGCTCTCATGCTAGACAGGTATCTGAAAGCCAGGAGAAGGGATAACATCACCACAATAATACCGCAATCTGACTCTCTGCCAGGCGTGGCATAATGAATAGTAAATTATTAGTAAGTACATCTCATAATTACGGTATTGATCACGACCACGTATTGAGTGCCGAGTATGCACCGGGCACTGGGCTAAGCTCTCACCATGCACCATCTCATTTAAACTTCAAAACGACATATGAGGTTTGTACAAGGATCCTCATTTCATAGATGGGAACAGTGAGGCTCAGACAGTTTAAGAGACTGGCCCAGGGGTGTGGAGCTGGGGTCCACACCCTGCTGGACATGTATGCAGGGCAGGGGCACTGTCAACCCAAAGAGACCCTCCCCGACCTCACCCCCAAGTCTACCTGTTGGCAGAATCCTGAGCCATAAACTGCCCTTGGCCTCAGTCTTGGCCATGGGGCAGGTTTCCTGGGGACCCCAGAGAAGGGCAAACTGGGGACAATGTAAAGTGTCTCCCACACAGGCGAGAAATTGTGACTTGTCACTTAGAAGACTCTGTGCCAGCTGACAGGTGGCAGTTGAGGAATTGCGGAGGACGGGTTGTGGAGGCAGGTGTCTCCAACAATTTGGAGGGGGGGTTGGCTTTTAAAGCAATGTGGGCTGGACCCAAAACTGCATAGAGTCCTCTTAAGCTGGTGCAGAGAAACTCGCCGTTCCCAGCTCTTGTCTGTGCAGGTCAGGGTATTACTGAGGTGGCAGGGTTTATTTCAAATCCAGAATGTCATTCTAAAAAGTTCTCCTCCTGGCTTAGAGATTAACTTCAAGCAGAGATAACATTTGGGGGTATTATGGATTTTGACTAAGTATCTGGAATTAATATTCTGAATACCAGCCCATTCGTGAGGAATGGAAGCCCTGGCCTGGCCTTCGCTCAATTGCTTAGGTTAACCCGCTGTCCCCTCCCGGGCCACTAAAGCCAGTGCCTGGGTTTCATCTTAATGCTTTGAATTGTCTGGGTTGAGTCCAGCGGTTCTTAACCAGGAGTGATTTCACACTCCTCCCAGGGGACATAGGGCCATGTCTGGGAGACATCCCGTGGTTGTCACCACGTGGGGGGTGCTACTTGCCCGAGAGACCAGGAACGGAGCCAACACCCACCATGCACAGGCCAGCCCCTGCATGAAGAAGGGCCCCACTGTGGTCCAGGCACAGCAGGAGGACCACTGCGGGCTGGCTGAGGCTTCTGGGCAATCCCACCCACTCACCACCCCACTTTCTTCCATGCCATAAGGCTTAAAAACTGGGAAGACAGTAGTTACTCCAAGAGGTCTAGGGTAGGGAAGATGGGAAGGGTCTTTAAAATCCCATCCAAATGCTTCTGTTTACATTCAGGAGGGAGCCAGATGTCGGACCCTGTTCAGGCCTTTTCCACAGGAGCCCTTCTCATTTCCAAAAGGCACGGGTCGAACACAGGGCTCTGCCCACGGATTGGAGGGACTGTACCAGTCGGCAATTCAGTTCCCTTAGACAACTCGGTGGATTAATAATGAGCAGTCAAGCAGCTTCCTCCTCTGCCTTTCAGCCACAGGATGGTCACCTACTCCTGTCCTTCCACTGAGTCCTCACAGCAGCCTACAGGAGTTCTCTCCTTATCCCCATTGGCAGATGACAAAAGGGACCCTCCGAGGCTGCCTTGCCAAGGCCCCAGAGCCAGCACCGCTCCCATGACCGCTCCGAGCTGCCCCTCCCAGGGAGCCTCAGCTCAGCCCTTCCCCGGGGCAGGTCCCATCCCAACTGGCATGAGAACCCAGTGCATCCAGGGAGAGTGAGCTGGGCAGCATGGAAAGGGCCCTGCCCGGAAGTGGTGCCCCAACAGGGGGAGGACAAAGGGACAGCGAGGAAGATGGCCTTCAGCTTCTTTAAAACTCAAAGCGCTCACATTCTTTTTAAATTTTGAAAAGTCAGAGAGTGGGCTCTCTATGACAGAGGAAGACCTGGGCTGGGGGAGAAAACTGATTACAAGCAGGGGCTGGCATCTGCCCTGATTCCATAGTCCAGCCACAATCGTCCACGTGTGCAGGACCATCGCTCTCCCCCTGGTACAACAGCAACGTTAAGGACGACCAACGGGAGCTCGGCCCAGTGCTGACCGCTTGACAAATGTGGTCTTGAGGAATTGTCACAATAAGCCACGGGGAAGGGGCTATACTATTAGCCTTCATTTGCAAATGAGCAAACTGAGGCCCGAGTGGTTAAAGAACTTGCCTAGGGTCACACCCTGGGAAGTGACAGAGCCTGGCCTCCTGCCCAGGTCTGCTTGATCACAGAGTCTAAGCGTGCATGAGGCTGTTCTAACCAGGAACCGACGACTGGCACAGCAAGGGTGACATCGACTCAGGTTCCTCACTTGGGCCTGTCTCCAGCACCAGTGCCCAAAGGGACTCAGAGCCACCAAATGGAGAACACGGCCCCAGGCACCGGAAGGAGCTGGAAACCCCCATGTACGGATCGGGAAGCTGAGGCTCTGAGTCAGGGAGAGCCAGGTCTGCACCTTGGGCTCGTGCCTTTCCAAGTTTAGAAGGACCCTCTGCCTTCCCTACTCCTTCTAGGGAAGAAACTGGGCTGAGCCTAAAACCCCTAGGAAAACCTTTGTTTCTTGACAACTGTCCCGGATGCCTTCCAAAGCCAGAGGAGGTTTCTCCGCCTTAGTCTTCTTAGAAAAGGTCCTCATCAAATAACTAAGAATCATGTTTCCCTTCTCAGAATGGAGAGTCAACCCCTGCCCCCACCCCGAATTAGATTCACAGCTGCTCTTGAGCATTGCAGGGCTCAGTGCAGAAACCAAGGTGTTGGAGGGGACCCGAGGAGTGTCACCCACCTGCACCTCTTTGGAGCGATCATGGTTACACCCTGGTCTTAAGTCTTTCTAAGGTCTTTGCCTTAGAACTTTGGAGTCATCAAGTGGGGAAGTCACAAGATCTGGTGTCCAGCCACCCGCCACCCCATGACGTTCTTAAATCAGTGATGAATTCCAACTCCTGGGGCAATTCTGCTCTCTCTTCCTCACTTGCCAAACCGGGAAGTGATGTTGCAGAGGGTGGACACTGAACGACAGGCTACAGGAGAGTGTCCATGGACAGTCACGGGGGTCAAAGTGGGGGTCTGCCCCTCGGGGCCCACCTAGCTCTCTCAGAAGGGTCCTTGTGCTGGGAAACAGCTCCTTTTGCTGCCCCTGTCTTAGGGCAACCCTTCAAGTTAAGTCCCTTTCCCTCTACCACCGGGGATGGCCTTCTCTGGGGTCAGAGAACAGGCCAGAGAAGAAGACCCAGGATCCCAGGGTCCCCACTGAGTTCTACATCATCCTAGGAACTGGCTGGAGACGAGAGGCCAGTGGGCTCCTCTTAGTTGCTCCTACCTAGGGCCCCACTGGAAGGACACTGGACGTTCGATGGCTGCCTCGGGACAGAAAGTTCCACATTGCAAAGCAAACCAAGTTTCTAAAACCCGTCCTCTCCAACAGCAAAGCACTCCTCCAGGTCCTGATGCGCATTTGAAAACCCTGGAGACCCACGTTGAGGCCCAACCACAAAGCCCTGAACCAAGAGGAATGGAGGCCTAGAGGGCCCTGAGTGTCTGCCACGTGTGCGCAGGACGGCCTGAGCCGGGGGGCAGAGCTGTAGCCTCTTTGGTGACCCCTAACGGCACTGACACTCCTGCTTTGCCAAAGAGGCGTGCGGAAGGACCTCTGCTTTCTCAGCATCTTGCAGGGAAGGACACAGAAACCTCGGACCCTGGGACAGTGGCAAGATAGGTCCCAGAGCCAAGACCCCAGTCTGTATCAACAGGCAAATCCTCCAGGAGTCACTGGCCAAGAAGGACTCAGAGGCTCTTCCATACCTGCCTGAATCTCCCCTCTGGCCCCGCCCAGACCCCTCTCCCCCTGGCATCTCTAAACCCTCCCCCCGGGTCCCCACGCCGGGCCACGGCGCGTGTCCCTGAGTAGTACTCACATGCCCTGCTCCCCGTACTGGTTGTAGAACTCCATGTGGCTGCACGCCTGGATCCAGCCCACTATCCAGGTCTCCTTCTTGGGGATGGGCGGCATGACCACCTGGGCCGAGGCCCGGAAGTGGGGCGTCCGGTAGCGGAGCACCACGCTGGAGGACTCGTCGATGCTGGTGGGGATGGGGTCGATGGAGGCTTTCACGTCAATCACCGTGATCCCTTCCCGGAAGACTCTGGCTTTGCCTCCGATGCTCTGAATACAGCCCATGGCACACAGGACCGCTCTGATCTCCAGGGAAGGACAGCAGTCCCAGAAGAATCCGGGCATTGAGAGGCCGCGGCTGCCGGGCCGGTGCGGACGGCGCTGCTCTGCAGTCTCAGATCTCAAGCCCGATATCCATAGGATAGAACGTTCACCGAGCGGAGGGGGTCGGCATCTCACCGGCCGGGCCTGCTTATAGACGAGGGCTCTGCTGCATGGCGAGAGCGCTGGGCTCCCCCTTCTCCCGGCAGTGGACAAAAATCACCGATATTCTTTGGGTTAAAAACAGAAAACTTTGGCATTCAAGGCATAACCACGTTGTTCTGACATCCAGTCCTTCCGTGCCTCACGCGCGGGGACGGCGGCTCAGAGACTGTCGCTGAAGTCTCCGGAGGAAGGAGGCCAGCGCCGGCGGGCACATAAATAAGGAAGGCTCGGTCCCCGCGCGGCCGCGCCGCCCTCGCCGCAGGACCCGACTTCCTG